AATAGCGTATACAATTTTATTGTATAAGTTGTGTGAACGAAAAGTGAATATTAGACATCATATTATGATCAATATGGACTGTTTTTCAGTTGGTGAAATTAATTGCACAAATATTAAATGCTATACCCTTATAGATAGCATTTAGAGGGGACTGGGCATGATGTGAAATAACCTCCTGCTGTAGGTATTATTGGAGGAATCAAAATTATACTTTTGCCCTTTCCAACATCAGAAAACAGGGTTAGAAGAGGTTGCACGAGAAAAACCAATGGTTCGCACATATATGCCTGAAGGCTGTAATTTGAAATTTTATTTCTCATCTGTTTTTTTAATTTGCATTCCCACATTCGCTCATCGTAGTATACATTTGCCAATAGTGTCACCAATATGCTGCAGTGCTAGTGTGCTACCCTTCTTATAATGGGTATAGTTCCAAATAAATAAATGATTTAATCCTTTGATGTTGTGGGTTTCAGACTGAGTACAAGTACTGTTACGACCTGGTGTTGCACTACGTGCTGCACTACCTGAACAAGGACCAAAAGGAGAAGAAATGAGATTACGAGGTAGAAGCTCAGTGGTACTGTCAGTTCGGTAGGGGCGCGGCGCAACCACTGACGCCCGATCAGCCGGGCGACGACGCGGCGGCGTCCCGGGGCGAAGGTTGGGGCGCGTCCGGGTCCGGCGACGGGCACGGCGCGGCTCCTTCGCCCATACCGTACCCGGGTCGGTACGTGGTGGTCAAGCAGTTCGCAGTCGACCGGCCGGAAGCGCACCCGCTGCCAGACACGGCGCCTCTGCACTACTACAACCCGTACTACCTGAGGCTGGACCTGAAGACGCACAGCACGCGATTGCTGCACAGCTCCATTCAACAGACTAGCGTGGACGCGACGCCCGAACATCACGCGGCCGTTGTTTCTGGTCTGACGGCGGCCGGTGTGCTGCTTCCGGAACCGGAACCTGTGGCGTCCGCGGCTGCGGTGCCGTCGTTGTTGCAGCGCGGCGATCACCGTAGCTGTTCAATCGCTTCGGCCGGCAAGAAGACTGTCGCATTCGCCGACACAGTAGACGTCTGCGGCGGCGGCGACGACGACGACGACGACGAAGACGACGATATCGTGGACATCAACCACCGGCTGATTGCGGCCGCGGCGACGGAAAAGGCGGCCGAGGTCCGAGCACAAGTGCCGACGCCGGTCGTCCGTTCCAGGCCTGCCAACGTGTTGCAAGTGCACTCGCAGACGGGCGAGGTAGTCGGCGACGTGCTCATCGAGCGGAAGCGTGACCCACCACCGTCACTGTCGCCGTCGTCCACCGCGACGAACACGGCCACGCCGTCGCCGGTCGACGATGATGCGGCCGGCGGCAGTAGTAGGCGCAAGCGACACGAGATGTTCTGCCGCCGGCGACAGTCACCAGTGTACAGCTGCGACGACGGCGCCAGTGAGACGTCCTTTGTAGCCGGCTCACCCACCGCCGACAGCGCGTCGTCGTCTTCGGTGTACGAAAGCTGCGATGACGACCTGTCCGCTGTGGTCGTGTTGGGCGCCGAACTCGGCAGGCCGCCGTTGCGCCGGTCCGCAGCGGCCATCAACGGTTACGCCGGCTGCTGTCCGTCGTGATCCGCGGTTCGCGTGTGTTAGGTAACCGCCACCGACTGTATTGTCTATGTCACCGCCTCTCGCACTCACACACACTTACGTACTCAAGCCGGATTCACAGCTACGTCGCGTGTTGCGTCGTGTTGATCGAATCGCATTGTGATTGGACATTCATTTTTTGGTTTCATATTATAACCATATAGTTACCGCACCCTTGTACGACACGATACATGACGTAGCTGTGAATCCGGCTTCACTTACTCACTCTCTCTCTCTTTCCCTCTCTCTCTCTCTCTCTCTCTCTCTCTCTCACACACACACACACACTAGCGAGCTACGTCATCTGTCCTGTCAGGTCAGGTTCAAAAGTTAAGCTCGGCCTGACTATAAATTTCCCGGCAATTCGAGAAGGTAACCAAGAATACAAACGACCAATCAGAATACGATTTAGGGTGACTTAACGCTACACAAATCATTTTGAAATCTATAATATTGTTTGGAACATTAAGATACTTCCTGCACCCTATCGTCCATGATCTGGTGATTTTGTTTATTTTATCTCATTATAATATTATCTTGGTTGGCATATTTAAAACCCGAAAGGTTAGCCGCACCGTGACCTTCAATATTTTAAACATTTTATCGATAGTCATAATTTATTGATAACCAATAACTACTTGACCACTGCACGTCAAATATTCTTCAACTTTAAAGTAATACTTAGTAACGGAATATATAATATCAAATATAACTTTAGTAAATTAAAACACTGGAATTTTAACACGAGGCGTGTTAAGTTACGGACGACACCATATAAAGTGTAAAGTCACCTTAAATGGTTCAAATTTAACGATTTAACGTACGTACTTAAGAGCTATGGGTAGGATTGGATTCTTCTGTCTGATATGTGGAATGTACTCAGTGGTTGAAGTGGCTCAAAATAAGTGGAGGAATGCCTTTTATAATTTATATAGATCTCATATATCACTTAAACAATCGTACAAAATAAGTGAAAGGATGGAAAATGTGAATTATAAAAAGCGGAGGAATGTCACTACCACCACCACTTCGACAACTGAATATACTTTATGGCAGGCATGTTAAATTTAAACTATTAAAATTGCCAAATATATTGAATAGCTTACCACATAAAAATATATCGAAACATAAATATTGTATTCAAATCTTTGATTGTATAAATTACAAACACAACAGGTACAGTTAAATGCATTATTATTTATTATTTAAAATACAAAAAAATGTATTAATTTTGTATGAGATAGGTACCTATCCTAGCCTGAGCTATAATTTCTTTTTGATGTTTGCGATGTTTGACATTTATATGACTTATACTCTGTCATAGTTGCCACGAAATGAAAATTGTGATATTTTTTTATTAATTATTTTTACAATTGATTTTACATTAATATTGACCAAAAATGGCTGCGTGTTTGACATTCCTGCTATATGACCACTTTGTGGAGCACTGCTTAGTGCTTACTATAACCACGCAAGCTTCAGCCAATCGCATTATTTTTCGGAAAACACGGTTCTGTGGGTCGTCATCACTGGTGCCTGATTTAACATTTGTGGGACCCCAGGTGACTAGTCAGTTAAAATGTCCCCCCCCCTAGAAAATGATCACCTACACACGTTTTTAATTTCACTGCTCAATAACAACAATTTACAGTTTTAATAATAACTAACTCATTATAATAAACAAAACAATACTTACATTAAGTAAATGATTTCTCTAAAACTCGCATTCATCATTCACACAAAAAAAAATGTAATATTTTGATTTTTTCTACCAATTAAAAAAATGATCTTAATAAAAATTATAAACATGCAATGCACTACTGTAATGTTCGTCGTCATATCGCCGCCAAATAATATATAATACAGTTTATCGCAAGTATATTTTAAAATTCGACAAAATCTAAAAAGTATTTTCTAAAAGATACAATACGGTATAATAGACTTTTTGCGTCAATCCGTAAATAAATGTATAGTCAAATTTCAAAAAATAATGGTTTTCATTCCTTTTTTTAACTAGTGGGTCTCTAGATGGGTGCCTACTTCGCCTAGGGTGTAATACGGCTCTGCAGGTCGTCACGATTGAGTGTGAAGTCACTTCGCGTAAATTTGTAAGGCACCCTCCATGACAGAAGACGTAGGCGCAGTGATACCACCTCTGACGCCATCACTCTTTCTCGCCACTCCCAAAACAGGGTACAGAAAAAAACAAGGTAAACTCTTCCTTACATTATTATTCTATCGCTTACAGTTGTGCCTTCGACGCTTGAGGCGGTCGTATATTATTGTGTATAATACACAATAGGTGTGTCGTTATGATTATAATATTAACTATATTATACCGCGGTTACGGTTACCACCACCTTGCGCACCCGCTCACCCGCATCCGCGACAGCCCTATGTAATAATAACTATTTTAAGTCCATCGTTTATCGACAATATATATAATATCTATTATATATATCTCGATAACAGCACCACTGACTATAATAAATATTAAGTAATGTAAGAGAGATATGTCTAGATATATTTAAGTATATATATGTAGTACATAATGTAAAATGTGTATACTCTCACAAACCAAGCGTGTACATAATGTATACGTAAATGGAGATTAGAGATCGTACTAAGAAATTTCGCTGTACATATTATTTAAGTGTATCTATTATATTATTATTATTATTATTATTATTATTATATGTTACGTTATTCTATAATGTATATAATATATATATATACATTTATAAGGTACGCATTGTATTTAAAACGCGTGTCACACGGTGTTCAATTCAAATAATCGGGGTAATTTTTGATGTTGAATTATATAATATTATATTGTATTAAGATTGAAAATACAGGGTGCGCGTGTTATATGCATTGTTATTAATATTATTATTATTATTATTATTATTATTATTATTACTATCATCATCATCATCATCATCATCATCATCGTTATATATTACAGTAGAAATCGTTTATAATGCCACCGTGGTTCAAGTGACATATATCGGGTTTTATGACCTTAAAGTGAAGGACCCGAAAAAATTTTATATGTTAAATTTGATGAGTATCGTTTCAATATCGGTTGTTATGACCTATTTCCCTTGGTCCCTTGAACGTATAGTTATAGACGATTTCCACAATATATATAATTGATTATTGTGTATAGTTTGAGTGACGGTATTAAAAAAAAAAAAAAAAAAATATTGTAGAAAGGGTTTGCCGAAACGCATATTAATATATAGGTATATAATATTATAATATATACTATAGCTATACGTATTTTAGGTAGACATAAATATATATATAGATGTGGTATCCTTGAAACGAAATCATATGCATATTATGTATTCATTGTAAAATGCAGTTACTAGGCATTCTTCTTTGGGAATTCAGAAAAAAGTAACAATTAATTGAAAAAAAAAAAGTTGTAAAATTTAGGTACCTACGAGTCTACGACATACTTTATTGCGGCAGTCGATATTATAGTAGAATGATGCTTCTATATTACTTCTATATATTCGTAGGCTCGTCACACCTCCGACTGTATATTAAAATCAGAGTACACGAACCATTTTGTTTTCGTTGATAAAACAACGAATCGTAATTATAATCGCACGTAAAAACTGTGAGTACCAGATATTATAGGTATATGTTGCAATACGATGTTACCCTTTTCCAAATGTCGGGCCTTGCAGATGCCGAATTCCTCAGCCTTCCTCGTAAATCACACTTAATCATCGTGAAAGTAGTATTGAAAATATAGGTTCTGAATGTCTTAAAAATTACAAAAACATAATGATATTTAGGTGTACTTTGGAAGAAAGGTGCGAATCAACTCGATAATGCGTGAGACGTGTGATTGGGAATGTCGAAAACCTTTATGAAAAATTTGAAATATTTTTACCACACGTACCTCCCCTTCAGCGGCGTATTATCCAAACTTAATCGCCGACTGCAGGCTTTCCCGGAAAACCCATTTTGGCATGCACACCGTTTATAATTGCTTTTCCGAGACGAGTGTTGCAAAGTTAGGTGTGTATATATATATATATAGTATAAAATTCAAACAGTCCTTTCGGCAAACCCTACAATCGCGCGTCGGTTAATTTATACAACTTTTGTTCCTTTTAATTAGTTTTAATTCACTTTTATATACTAATAATATTATATATTTTTAAATTATTTAATTCCGTAATCAAAATATTGTACTGGACCAGTTATGTTATAACGATTTTACATTAGTTATATTATACGATTCGTATTTGTATATTTGTGCATTGTTCTACAGCCTCTGAAGTTGCAAACTATTATCTTAGCAACTCTATAAATATACATATTAAGTACTTATCATCGAAATAATTTAATGTTTGTTCAATTATTTTCCACCACTATAATGTTGGGTACCTACATGGCTACATTAATACAATAAGGCAGGACTGCAAGTAATCTTTTAGATAAGAAAAAGTTAAATGTTAATTTAATTGTTGCCTGTTGGTAAACTCAGTTAGAAGTTAAAACACATTTTTTTTTCAAACTTTTTATTAAGTTAAACGATTAAATTTTTTTTATACATTGATAGAATACTTTATTTTTTACGAACCCAAAACTAAATTATAGACTACCTATTAAAGTGTTAATACTTTTTACAGTATTTAAATATACAGTAAAATTTTGGTAAGACAGAAAATTTCTTGAGTCTCAATTTATTCAAATACATAATTATGAATATGTTAGCTTCGTCAAGAAAGAAATTCCGTTAAGATGGAAAAAGTGAATCCCAAGTGATTCCGTCTTATGAAGTTTGACATTGATTTTTTTTTTTTAAAAGAACAATATAGTTGCCTATCTAATAGGTAAAAAATGATTGATTTATATTATTTAATTAACTCATAAACGCTAAACTAATATGAACATTCAGTGAAACTTTCAAGTATCTACTGAAATTTTGTCAAGAGGTACACCAAAAACCAAAATCAACTATAGTCAATTAAACCAAAAATGTCCAAGTAAAGAAAAAAGCAATATTTTTTCAGGGTCTGTGGTCAAGTCTTTTATCTCTTTATTATTATTACAATGTATTTCAATGATTATTGATTAATTACCTAATTAGTTACAAATGTTGGAATATACTTTGATGTAAGACATTAATTTGTATATTAATACATTTCATTATACTTTGATAGTTCTTATAAGTAATTTATAAATTAGATAAATTATAAGAATTATAATGGATGGTAAATAATTTAAGATATACTTTGATCTGAGAATTTCCAAAAAGAATAATTTGAAAAAAAAACTGAACTGAAAAAACAAAACTGTACAAAAAAAAGTACATAATACTGTACCATTGAAAATTGAATTTGTTCAACTTTTGGCTTAGGAAATGCTGGGAAAACGTTTCTCCAGCAAGCACATTGCAAAATCGGGTTTACTCGTGTTTAGGGGGATGTACGAAATTGTACAAAATCCTGTCAAGGTTTGGTATTAAAATTCGAAAGTGGCAGAGCTGGCTAAACGGACCTAAGAATAAATATTATTATATTCAAAAGATGTTGGTGGAACAATAACGATTTACGAGTTACGACCAACCATACAATGGATGGAATGTACTACGCTTATAAGTTATAATATAAGATGTACCTATCTATATACATTATTTTGAACAGTTAAAATATTTATTGTTTTTGTAATTTTTTTTTATTTACTTTTTGTATTGACACTATGGAAAAATGTACAAATATGGCTACGAATCACTCTTAGACCATAATAAATTATGAATAAGACAACAAACGCAATGAATAAAAATGTGCTTATTACATTAACCAAAAAATATTGATACCACGTCAGGTTAAGAGCGTGAGATTTTAAATGTGGAGCTCCTTTATGACGTAGAACGTACTCTGTCCAGTAAACCACTGATTCTGCAGGTGACATCGGTCGGTCTTTGAACCGTTCAGAAGCTATTTTAGCGTTTTTCTGGTACCTGCGGTAGACGTACGTAAAAACAGTGGTAAGTAAGTATCTATTATACGTTTGATTAAAAGATCTAAAATGTCTCACCTATCGTTGTTTACAATCTCCGAAATGGCGTTTAACAGCGTACCTTCGGTAACAGATAACAGGTCCATACCGATCGCCATCCCGGCGTTGACCAAATTTTCAATATTTCTATGTTGGTCGTGGTAAATGGGAAAGCCTAGTACAGGTACTGCAGCGTCCAAAGATTCGTACACTCCGGATATGCCTCCATGACTTATGAACAGTTTGACATTGGTATGCACTATACATAATGAATTCGGTTTGATTACTTACCTAACATTACACAATTATTAATATAGAGTGCTAAATGCTTCAAACATGTCTAGATCATAGTTCGTACACAAAATGTCGCGTTGTGGAAACCATTTCCGGGACATCACATTGTCCGGTATTTCTTTCATTTTTTCTTCGTATTTCCACAACACCTTCTGAGGAACTCGAGCGAGTGCATCTTTGAAAGCTAGCTGAACAGTTTCCGGTAACGATGACATCAAAATCATAGAACCAAACGATAAGAAAATCACCCCGTGAGGCGCGTCGTCGATGAATTCTAAAATGTCCTGTGAATAAATGGAACCAGTTGTATAAAATATATTTAAAAAATCGTTTCAAGCTGAATATTAAATGAGTATTAACGGTGTGCAGAACAAACTCGGCATAATCAAATTAGTAACGCTTCACGTAAGCGTTCCCACGAATCACATCAATCACGTACGTATGTAAATTATAGGACTAATACCTAACAATATAACCACAGATTATACTAAAGACGAGGACGTAGTAACGCATATGTTGTCTCTGGCATCAAAAGTAACATATTATCGAATTTTCATAGAAGAATATAATTTATAAACTGTGTTTGAGTAAACAGCCTTCTTCAAATTTTCGTTTACCGTATAAATTTAAAAAAAATAGTTTTTTATTACATAAATAATTTCAAATTGATATCGCTCGAGCTCTGTTTCTCCTCTAAAAACGCAATAATATAAAAATTTACTCTTATGTAAAATAATTTGTATAATATCATAAACTGTAGTGAGAATCCGTCACCTAAGCAGATTTGCCACCTTAGGTGGTATTAGCAGACAACCCATTCAAGTCATATTAGAAATTACATACATACAACAAAACAAATTTCTAATTAGCAGAGTCAATTAGGCGTTATTACAAACACATTTTAGTAGTATATAGTATATACTACCTATAGTTAGAACTATTATCGAGTTTTTTTTTTAATTTGTTTGATTATTCTAAATTCATTAGGTATAACTTCACCGTACTTTAATAATAATTATTATGATATAAGGTTGACGGTTTTTTCAGCATACCGTCCTATATCGGTTTTTGCCCGAATACCACTAAAGCAGCATACTCGGCACATACCAGTAAACCGTAATACCGTAAATTAATGAGGTTACGGTTTTTCGGTATAACATAACATATAATGTTACCTACATATGTTATTATAAAAATTGTTTACTCCCTCAGACCTCAGTATAATATTTCGGGGTCACAATCCCCAAACCCCCTAGTGTTGCCACGGACCGCGTCCTATATATAACCTTCGGTATAGGTTCAGGCGGTGTCAGGTGAATGCCGCCGATTTGGACAAAGTCAGACGTCTGCGACCTAGCCGGTATGGTGATGGAATGCGAGTTGATGAAAATCATTGACGGTCGGACGAGGTCCATGGCGTCGTACGGTCGCGGGTTGCTTCGCCGCAGCTTCCACTCCGTGTACCAGGTCAGCGCCGAACAGTACACCATCAGCGCCACGTTACCGAAACGTTCGGCGAACGTTTTGGGCGTGCCACGGCGGGACATGGCATGCCCCGCGGCCGCCAGGTTTGGGACGTGCCCCGTCAACGGACGTTCCGAGTACGTGACCACCGGAAACGCGACAACGTGCACCATTGGCACGCCGAGCACGTTGGCCACGTACGCCACGCACTCGGACATAAACGGTTCGGTGACGACCAAGTCGAAGTGCCACGCCGCAGCCCTGTTCAAGATGTCTACCATCCGGGGATGGCCGTAAATCATGTCGCATCTCTTCCGGGAATGGTTAATCATGCTCGGCATCGCCTTCCGCAATGGAATGTAGTTTTCGATCAGGAAAGTCGCGTTTATTCCGAGATTCGGTGCAATTTTCTCGGACACGTCCACCTCCGTGTAACCATCCCGGTCACCGTCCACGAACGGCGTGAACACGGTCAAGGTGTGACCGCGGTCAGTCAACGCCCGCAACATGGACCGCATCACGTTCCAGTGGCTCTTTCCCGGGATCGTCTGCACCGCCAGGATGTTCGCAGCACTGGCCGGCGTCCACTGGAGCGACGATGAGCACGCATACAACGCAACCAACGTCGCAGCGAAACTGAACATGTTTTTTCTTCTTTCCGGTTTAAAACTGTGATACAATATGGAAAGTGTAAAAACAGCATTATTATTATTATTTTCAAAAAAAAGTTGGCAAAATAGTAAAAATAAAATTAACTCAAATTATAGGTGTGTTAAGTGGACACAAGATAACTTTACTCAGTTAACAAAAAATGTTAATTAACTTTAAAAGAACAAATTGAACTGAAAAAAAATATGGAACTTCTATAACTATCAAAATATATTAAGCACAATTAGTATAATCAAATATGTTTATTTATTTTTTATATTATGATTTATATCTTAGAGATTGTCACTATCTAAATTAAGATTACTAATGTCCTCCAGTCTCCACGCCGTCAAATAAATCAAATAATATTTAATAATTCCAATTTTTTTTTTTTTTTAATAAAAGTGGGATTTCTTTTCCGGAAACCATTTTTCTTCAATCTAATATATTTTGGTATACTACACAGATTTTGGAATTATATAGTAATTGGTGTAGGGGTGGTTGTTACTTTTTGTTTTGTCTGCATAATACATCGTAGTATGTAAGTATGTAACAGTTTAAATACATTTCAGAACAATTCATTGATATAATACAAATTTAATACTTCAAAATAATTATTAAAAAATAATAATGATAAAATTACCTAACAAGAAAAGATGTATTTTATGTAATATGTTGCGAAAAACAACCAACAACATTTTGTAACTATCAGTTATTTTTTTATTACTGAAACAAATTTTGAAGGTAAGAAAAAGTCTCTTTGGACCATCTTTGGTTGGGTTCCTAGACAAGTGTATATGGTAGTCAGCAGTCAGCACGGGTTCGATGTGGTTAAATTAGTTAATATTTTGTTATTTGGTAATATACCTAAATGTCGAATACCATCACAATTATTTTTTTGAATTAAAATTACAAAAATGTTAATAATTGGAACAACTATAGAGAATTATTTTTGATTGTATATTAAGGAATGGATTTTTAAGACGTAATCTTAGTAAACACGGTGTAAATTTAAATTGTATCAAGTTTCTAATGAAATGAAACATTGGTAGTACGAATTTTTAAGTTAGTCATGCCTAGACAGACTTTTCTTTTCTACAATATGTAGGTATATACAGTGGCGTATTTATGGGGTCCAGAAGTACTGGATCCCCGCAAGACCCCAAAAAAAGGTTAGCTGACTTTAATTTGACATTATATTATAATATATTGTAGATGATGTTCATACGAAGACGTTAAATATAACAATAAATAAATAACAATTTTCTAATATCAAATACTTATAAAATTTGTTAGAATCAACAAAATGTTTGGATCTCCCCCCCCCCCACCCCACAGCAAAAAGTTGAAAATAAGCCACTGGGTATAGCCTTAAGATATTTAAATGCATTTAACTATTTGGTTAGCATACACGATATGCCATTAAAAATTAAAAATACAATACATCCCATTAGAGATTAATAGATTACCTGTTACTTACCTATTAACTTTTCAAAAATCACTTGTTCAATATTAAAGATCCAAATAAACTAAAGCAGGAACCATCCTAATTTTTTTATAAATAGTACTAGGTACATTATTATGTAATGTCAACTGGTGTTGGAAAAAAAAATAAGCTCTTTGATCAACCGACAAATTCAAGTTGATAAATTTTAAACACTGTCAGCTATAATTTAAAATTGATAAGTTATATTAAACGATTACAGTTATGTAATATGTAAAAAGAAATAACATTTGACTATTTTAAGATGCCGGTGATTGGAACGAGGCATAATATCAATTGATAAAATATTCAACCATATAAGTTGTCCATGGTAAAGAAAAAATTTTAAAATACTGAATTAATTTTAATGACCCATATTTTAATTGATGATAAATTATTTGTGGTTCGACCTGCACTAAGTAGGTATCGAGCAGATTATCAAGCGCGATGTAGTGCACATTCGTGTTTCGTATATATATATTATATATATATGAGTTTGCAGTAGAGTACACTCCTAGTTTTTTTAATGGTAGGGGGGTTACACAATCCAAAACTACAATTAATTTGGATGGGGGGAGGGGGCTGAAGACTCAATTTGCCGACTAAAAATTTTTTTCTTGTTCTACTCGAAAACTAATTAACCTAATTATGGCATTATATAATAATGCAAATTATTACAAATTTACCAGCTGATCCCGTGCACTTCGTTGCCCGTTAAAAATGCCGACTAAACTTGATGGTGATAATACGAGCAGTATATTATCAGGTGGGCAATCCACCTATGGTGGATTGCAGACCTCGCTAGGTGCATACTATATTACTATCTATAGATTGAATAATAACTTTTATAATTATAACTTTATCTGATAACAATTTTAACACATCTAAAAATACATTTTATTTTACTCAAAACATATTATTTAAAATTAAATAACTATTACAGGTATCTTATTGAAATGTGGTGGAGTGGTATAAATGAAAGTGACACGTTTAACGCGTTTCTGAGGGACATGGTATTTTTATTTTTATTTAAATTTTTTATAATTTTAATGAATAATGAAACTAATAACAAGACGACGACGAAGTTGATAATATTATACAATAATTTGTAATTTCAATACCTAATATTTAGTTACTTTTAAATATTTTTGTTCGTCTTTTAACCACTTTTATTATTTACTATCCATTGTTCTCATTTTTTATGTAACAGATTGAATAAAAATCGTATGAACACTATGAACCAGTAATAAAAAATGTAACTACTTTTACATAATCTCACTTACGACTTATTACAAGAATACATTGTCTACAATTTTAATTTAGTTGTAGAGTAACACGGTAGACGTAGAGTACAATCAAACAGTAGAGCGCATACTACAGGATTGCCTTATTTTGTATGTTTTTTTTTTTAGTAGGTTTATAACATGTGTTATTGTGTGCCTATGTGTGTCATGTTTCGTCGCTAAAAACCCTGGCGGTCACCCATCCGGGAGCTAGCGACGCCCGATGCAGCGTAACCTCAGCACTTTAACGTAACTGAGATCAGCCACTGCGCCACCTGGCCGCCTACCTACGCCCCTGGCCCTGCGTATAACTTAGTGGCCACTGGCCGCGATTTTGTTCGTAGTGTCAAGTCCTGTGCAATGCCACACCCGCTTTTTTGATATCTATAAATAGTCAGGGAAAACCACAGAATATTCCACGGTAATATGGTGTGATAACACACTATCACTGACCAATGAATTTATTTTGTCATTGGCCGAGTAGCGACTAGTGAGTAACCTCGGAGTGTGCCGTGTGGGCAGTGTGGCTTGTCGACAGTAAGTGTTTTTGTCTGCTGCTTGTTGTTTGACATAATTTTGTTAATCTTTTACGCTTTGTCTTTCGTGTAATAATATTATGTTATATTTAATTTATATCATGATTCATGGTTGGTCTTGGTTGTTGTACAATTAGTGTTGTCCCCGAGGTCCGTTTACCGCTACGATGCTGATTCTGTTCAATTTTTTCTATAGTTTTATAGTTCATAGATAATGTTTCTGCACTCATACAGGTGCATCAAGTGTCAGCTTTGTATCGTATTTTGTCAATACTCAATAGTTGGCTGTTCGATCACTTGATATTTTTTTCATTGTTTAGTATTGGCAAATTTGTTTGGAAATTTGATTATTTTTTCGTCTTACAGTTAGGCCACAATAAAATATTTTCGTATTCAGGTATTCAGTACGTAGTTGCATAACAGTCTGGTTTAAAATCAACTGCAATAGATACCAAAGGTAAGAAAATGCCTTCATTCATTAAAATATAATTAAAATTACATACATACTATACATAGTAAACTAACATAGCAATAGCCACTAATACTCAATTGATACCATAAACGTATTATGATAAAATACACTATGAATGATGGTTGTTTTATAATAATAGTCACATTAAATGTATCTCCAGACTCCAGTACACATTTTGGGAGTTGGGTTCAGTATAGGTATTACATTTAACAGGTTAACTGCTACAGTATGTAATACCTATACTGAACCCAACTCCCAAAATGTGTACTGGAGAGACATTTAATGTGACTACTATTATATATATATTATATACCTAAGTTAAAATCTCCTTGAATCTGTGTAGATTTATGATATGAATTTATGTGGTCATATTATAGCTTCTCATATTTTGTATTTTTGTATCATTCCTGGTCTATTCTATTAATGGTACATACTATATCTAGGTAATTAATATTGTAATTGTAATATCTGATATGTTTAATATTTAAAAAGCACTATTACCATTTTAAAAGGTTTTATATCCATACAAGAAATGGATGACATGCAAGTTACGAAATCCAATGTATGTATAACAACAAATTATAGAAATAAATCACACATGGTTAATGTATTTGGGGTCCTACAATCATTACGCAAGTATGTCATGAATAATTTAAGCAGCTAGCAAAAGAAATATTAATAAAACCATTTTAATTTTAGGGATGGAGTCTTATGTGATATTAAACTAGAAACCGATGATGGTACAATAGTAAGCGGACATAAAATTGTTTTATTATCTGCTAGTCATTATTTCTGTGCAATGTTCACTAGTTTTGATGAAAGCAATAAAGACGTTGTTAATATAAGAGATTTTGATTCCACGGCTTTACAATTGTTAGTTGATTACATTTACACTGGTGAAATTCTAGTTAGTGATAAAAATGTACAGGTATAAATACATTTTTATTTTTTATGAATTTCCATCAAAATGATTTGAATGCATTATTGTTGATTCCTAAAGGATTTGTTACCAGCTGCAGACCTTCTACAGTTAGACTATGTTAAAGGTGCATGTGCTGCATTTTTACAAACACAGCTGGATCCTACTAATTGTCTCTCTATCAGAGCATTTGCAGATTTACATAACTGTTTAGAATTGCTGTCAAGTTGTGAAGCATACATTAAAAGACAGTTTCTGTATAATTAATTTAATTTAATTTTCTAGTTTCATCATTAAATTGTATAATATGTTAAGATAAATCATTATTATTTTCAGATATATTGTTAAAAATGAAGAGTTTCTATCTTTATCTTCTCAAGAAATGATAAATCTAATCTCCAGTAATGTTCTTAACACCCCATCTGAAGAGAAAGTGAGTAAACCAAAATCCAAAATAGATATGATAGTATTTCTATTATATAAAAAATTGAAGATCATTATTTACTTTATTTACTTATACTTACATATAATTATTAACATACATAAAATAAATAAATACGTAAGTCTAAGCAAAAACAAAAAAACTGCTGAAGTTCTATAACTACATTTTAATCAATTTTAATTTAATTTAATTTCTTTGTTGTAGGTATATGAATGTGTTATTAATTGGATTAAACATAAATTGTGCGTGAGATATGATGATTTGCCTAAATTAATGGAACATATACGTTTGCCACTATTATCCATAGAGTACATATCAATTAATGTAATTAAGGAATCTCTTATTAAAAATAATCCTAAATGTAGGTTTTTTAATACAAAAAACTTTCTTTTAAATTTACTCTTATATAATTATAATATTTTAGGTAAAGATTTTCTAATTGAAGCTCTACATTTCCATGCACTTAAGACACAACAGATTATCAATATTCCACAAACTATTCGAAATACTCCCAGAAAATCTGGACAAAAAGTATTATTCTATTTTAATAAACTTACAGTTGCAATAATTTTATTGATTTAATCTTGACAGATTATTCTCATGTTCAATGAGTTATCAAAACCCAACTGGTATGACCCAGCAACTAACTCAATCCAGGTATTACCAGAAATTGAAGTTTTAACCTATCCGGCTGCTTTTGCCTTAGTTAAAGAACGTTTTGTATTTGCTATTAGCCTTAGTAGAAGAGATATTAAAATGCTTGATTTATCTCTGCACCCATTCTGTTGGGTGTCGGTGGTGAGCATGTCAGTTGAAAGATTGGGTTCATCCAGATATGGTGTATTAAATGATTGTTTATATGCAGTGAGTTTTACCGGTTATTAATTATTATTATAAATATATATATATTTGTATAATATAATATTAAATGTTAGATTGGAGGACATGAAGGCAACGATAATTTCGCTTTATGTAGTGCAGAGTTTTTTGATATGAAAATTCAAAAATGGCGTATGATAACTGATATGTCAACTAAAAGATGTTTTTCAGGTGTTGGAGTACTTAACAATCTTCTATATGTGGTAGATATTTTATTCTTTTGTTTTTAATTTGTTTATTTATTTATTGTATAATATCTCTTATATAATTCAATTGTGTAGATAGGAGGTTGTTCTTCTTTGATATCTTTTGCTATGAAATCGGTTGAATGTTATGATCCTTGTCTTCACACGTGGACACCAGTTGCTGAAATGACTATATGTCGTGAATCTCCTGGTGTTGGAGTGTTGCTTGGAGTTCTATATGCTGTTGGCGGGGTAAATAAATCAGGAGAATTAAAAAGTATAGAGGCATATACAGCAAGTTCTGGAGTTTGGTCTTCTACTATTCCTGATATGCATTTTACTCGATGCAATCCTGGTGACTTAAATAATTAATATTTTTTCTAAGAAAATCTTGGTAGAAATATATTTAATTAAAATTAATTTTTAATATAGATGTACTTGCATTAGATGGATTGTTGTACATTATGGGAGGACGTCATAACTGTTCAAATAACGAATGTACTTTTGGTTCTACTGTAGAAATATACAACCCCCATACTAATACTTGGTCTATGGAAACATTGACAAAAAGCCTTGGTTGTTATGGTCGAAATAGTGGAGTAGTCGTGGATAAGCTACCATATATTATAAATAATTAGCAGAGCCAATGCCATCATGGAACATACAATTTTATTAACTAGAATGATTTTTAATCTACTTGAAGTCTATACATAATATATTTGTATCATAATAAGTAGTATCTAATACTATAACACAACAATACAATTAATATAAATTTAGGTACCATTTTAAAATATATTTTTCTACTTTTTGAACAAATTTTTATACATCTGTGATTTATCATAAATTCATAAATATATATAAGCTTTAATATCTACCGTACTAACACAGTCCTACTATTCTATCATTAGTTCTTCTAATTTCCCTGAGTGTTCTGTCTGAAGCTTCCCAAAAAGGATGTAAAAAGTAATATTTTATTACATTTGATATTATATTTACGATGACTGCGAGAACCTTTTTTTCTGCTCTTGACTTACATATTTTTCACTTTATTGTGCTGCTTGCTAATTTCTTATTGCGGGCCACTCCTGTCCACAATTCTATAATAATTCGATAACTGTATGTACCGATCGAACACAGAAACAAACGCACACGTTATTGTTGATTATAATTCAAGTGTATGCTTTCATAGATTGTGTCACCTCTCAACCGTATGGCCCGCATTGTGTCAAACGTTTCGAAAAAGAACATAGCGTTAAGGGTATTGTTGCCGGTTTTTCCAATTATTATTATTATATCCATAATTCTAAAAAATTTGAAAATCATAATTTAGTTACTACCTTCATTATAATACTTTTTCACTAATCTACTACCAGATACCTACTTAGGGGGGAGTTGATACGGTGTATTATATCAACGAAAATTATTTCACAGGAAAAACGCAAGCCCTGTAGAATAGTCGGATCTCTTTAATTTTTTTATTATAAGAAGAAAACTCTTTTCAGGTTGGATCAAAATCTGAATTTTCATTTTACTTTAAATATTGCTAAAAAATATGTTTGAAAAAAAACAAATATTGTACATCATTCAACTGCATCATTTAACTTCTACAGTTATAATTTTGAAAATCGGGCTTGAAAAATACGCTCTACAAAATGTTCTCTTCTTTTTAAATAAAAAAAAATTAACGAAATCCTACTATTCTACATAGTGTGAGAGTTTTTCCTATGAGACATGTTTTTGTACTAAAAAACAGACCAGTTCCAACGCCCTTAAGGCTAACACTCACCTCCGGAGTCCGGACACATCCACTTCGATGTAAACATCCCCAAACGGCATGGTGACTACAGTGTGGCCGCGGTTGGTCAAAGCTCGTTGCAGTATGGTGGGCCCAGGGCAGAGTACAATTGGGGGCCTAAAATATCATTATTATCAGTCGCATACATATATCATATAATATGATATATAGATAAAAAGGGGGCAAGGGCGCAAATATACTTATAAAGATAGTTGTTTGCACTTACAATATGGATAATAATTAATAAGTAAATAAATTAATAACACAACACGCCATATATTTAAACTTGATAATATAATAATATGGATAAATTGATAAGTAAATAAAATGTAATACAATATAAAATTAATGTATTATTAATTAACCTACTTTTTATATTTGCAAATGTATCGGCGGTATATGTCATTATATTATATATAGTTGGTCAGCAATTGCATTTTTTATAAATATTATAGCAAGTTGGTGACCTTTCTTTCGGTCAGTGCTTCGAAGTTAGTTTCTTTTATAATTTTCAGCTTTGAAAATTGAATTTTAATCTTTAACTCGTTTAAAATTCGATACATTTATTTGACGTAAATTATAATGTAGAAATGTAGGTAGTAAAAATTATAATAATTTAATGTATGAAATATAAATAATACATTTATTTTTTGTTCATTGACTTGACTTTTTGTATTGTATATAATATAAAAGCGAGGCTTGTTGTGATAATGGCGAGGGTCCCTGCAGTGGCTGAATGTATTTGTTTGGATAATGATAATTGTACAATAAAATCGCGGCAAATTTGAATAGACCAATCGGGAAACAGTAGTCGTGTATACCCTGTTCGCCGAGAGGCCAGGACTGCGCGGAGGACGAAAACTCGTCGATCCCCGCGACTTTTACTCGTAACGGCTTCGCGCCAGCTGCTCAAAATTCGGGCCATGCATCAGCATACAGTGTCATGTTTTATTGTAGTGATTTCAAATCATATGTTCGAGCACGTTTCGTGTTATTTTTTAAATAATTAATATCTAATAAAAATGTGTTGTATGTACTTAATAATAGAATATTATTATATTATTATCATTAATACGTAGCATAGGTATTATTATAGCGGCCGATACGAACATTTATTTGAACTCACTAATCGTAAAGAAGGGATATTTGACGGAGCGCCCGTATTTCCGTCAGTCTTATGGTCCTGGTATCTCGGCGAACAGAGTATAGTAATGTACATTGTGTGAATAATATGAGAATGTACTCGGCTGCACATCTACGATGTTTGCGGCGTCTACCGCTTCATGATCAGTAACACTGTGGAATTTGACATTGGTTTTTCCCGTTTCCAGCAATCTATGACACAATGCAGATATAATATTTTATTCGTCTGGATCAGCGTGTCTCTCAACGTTTTTACAGCCGGGTATCGCCAACAATTTAAACCGTTCATTTTTTAAGCTATTTTGGTATGCTTGACAGATTTTTTTAATTAAAGTAGTTGGTGTGGTTAAAATTAATTTTTTTCTTTTGCGCAGGCAATGTGTATTACATTATATATAACAGTATAAATACATTTTTATTAAATACTTACATCACATGTATGTTGTCATAACTCACAGATATAATGCAAACTTAAAATAATTTCAATGCTATGAACAATTAAAAAATATATTTTGTGTAGCCTATTAGAAGGTTAGGTTTAGAAAAAACGAAACACTGTACAAATGTTGTAAGAAAACGTATCTTTGAACAGAAAGCTCTGATCAAGTGAGTGTAACGGTAACTATAAAATTGGTTAATATATTGGTATTTGGAAATGTAGCTGAGTACTTACTTCTAAATAGGGCGTATCACAGTTATTTTATAACATTCGAATTGCAGAAATGCTGATAAAAGTAACAGTTTTAATGAAATATGTGCACAATTGTACTTTAAGGAATGGAAACATTAAGGCATTAATAGCACTATGTCAATTATAATTTTACCGAAATTCTAGTGAAAAAAATCAATCTTAACTAGACCGAGTTTTTAAGTTATTCATGTCGACAATGCAGTAAATCGTATTCAAGTATATTTAACTATTATCAAAAGTGAGGTGTAATAACAACTAAGCATAGTACCTACATGAAGAATACAGTGGTTATAAATAGTTATAAACTTTTTTTTTCTAGTGTGGGACTTTTTTTTGTTATTTTTTTTTCCGCCATCATTCTTACCTCGGCGTCCGGGTCCCCTCGAGAGGTTTGGTTGTATTATTATTATTATTATTTACCCTCATTGACTATTGTCGATAGCCGATAGGATAAATTGAATTTTTTTTTTTACTCTACCTATTTTTCTCTAGTCCCAGTTTTGTGCCGTTCGGCTTCTCCGGCGCCAAATCAACTTTAAATTAAAATAATTATCCTTTTCTTACTATACATGATTTCACGAGTTTTACCTATTGTTATTGTTATTATTATATGCATGATTTCATTCCCGTGTTACGTGTCTCGAACGTGAACAAAATCCACGATATTCTGGCCTTTTGGGTCTCGATTCGTGGTTGGCGACTCAATATTGGGGAGCGACCTGGTCGGACACAACGGAAGAACACATGACGAGCAAATTGCCGAACGGTCACAGAGTGAATAAAAAAAATCATCATCATAAATTATATTATCTGTAACCAATAGCAACCCGACGTTGCTCGTGTCAAAGATCGGTTTTAAAAAAAATAAAAACGTTAAATATGCCATATATTCCTAATTTTGTTACTACAATAAAATATAATAATATTATGTAACCAATGCAAGTCCTATAAATATAGTTCGTATAAAAATCCATTGGAAAAGGCATACCTTCAGTCTTTCCCCAATTTCCTGGAAAACTTTTCCAATTTATCTTTTCGTATAAAAACCTCGTCGAACTATTTTGAACCTTAAAAAATGTGTCAAATCGCCAATCGGTTTCAAGTGATGCGATCAGCGACCGACAGCATTTATTTTTTATTTATATTACATAGACTATGTTGTATTATTCTATACACGCCTGACGTGGCTCTTGATGGGTTTGTTTTTTTTTTTATAACTAGTTGTAAATAAATGTATATCTGCCATATTTCATCTAGTAGAAATGTAATATGTAACTATTTAAATAAATAAAATCATGTGCGTGCTAGCCATAGGGATTGCAAAAATAAACTGTAAACCACCCTCCCCTCCTTGTCACAAGGTATCTGTTGATATACCTGACCTTTATTGTAGAGGGTCCAGTGGTCGAAATGGCTCAAGATAAGTGGAGGGATGCCTTACAATTCAGATTTAGGCCTATACGAAAAATAAAAAGTTTTCTTATACATAGGTATAAATATAAAAATCATAATGATTATTTCATTTTAAAACACAAGCCTTAGGAGGAATGCGTTATTCTAGACAAAATAAATAGAGGGATGAAAAATGTAAATACAAAAAAGTAGAGGAATGTCATCCCTCCGTATCCCCCCCCCCCACTTCGACCACTGAGAAGGTCCATTAGTTTTTCAGTTTATTAACTTCGGATAAACCAATATTAATTCTTAGTTGTATAATCCGATTTCGACCGTGAACAAATACATAATATAATACCATATAGGTACTAGGCAGTGCAAGGGAGTAGTTAGAGAAGATGATGGAGGGTGTTCGGTGAAGGACCAGTCGACCTTAGTCGACGATGAAAATTTTGAACTGCCCTTAAGTGGATGGTATATAGGCAACTTAATGCGCTCCTTGATGCTCAGTGCATAGGCAACCTAATATACCCCTATTGGTTTCGTGCATAGGCAATTCTTTATATTATATCCGTGTACTCACTCGATCGACTGCGGTTGAAAATGACAAGCACGAAGTGTGCCAAGACGTCGAAGTTGGACGTTGACGCAATGTCAACGACGGGCGATGATTTTAAAAACAGACAACTGCAGGTGATTTGAAGTTTGCCGCAATGGCGTGAACAGAGATTTTATTGCGTGTAATTAACGATACAGAATAATATATATTGGGTCTCATGTATATAATATACGACAAGACAAGTGAACAACAGGTACGACAAAAAAAATCCGAATGATACGGCAATAGCAACAAGTGGAATTGATATCATTAACAACGATATCAATTGTACATAATAATTAATATTTTACATAATGATAATGGAGAGAAACAATAGATAGGAATAATAATTATAATGGCGCATGCAAGGAGAGGAAAACAGATAACACCGATTTCTGCACGGGCACGCGGAGCTTGCGGGGGTTCAGTCATGTACCTTTGATCGCTGCGACGCGGACGATACTATTACGATGTGTCGTAACAACGATGGTATCCAGAAATTTATCAATTTTCCAAATTGTTGAACTAATTTGAGTTAGATGGACAATATTTGCCTATGGTGGATTGGATATAGCCTTAGGTTTTGGTTTACCTAAATAGTAACGTGGTTCAAACTACATTTTGGGAAATATTAGTATTTATATATGCTCGACTTGTTGGTGAAATCAGAATTTACCTATGTTATTTATTTTTATTTTTTTATTGTACATAAACAAATCAAAACTTAATTATAAGTTTCGCGTGGTCAGGTAAATTCTGATTTCACCAAGAAATTAAACATATGAATACCGACACTTCTAATAAATCTTTTAGGAAGTACCTAGACTAAATTCGTTGCTAAAGTGTTACTGCCCATGGTCGCCACACAGAATAATTGGTAAAATCAGTCTTCTTAACGCTTCTGACGGACAATGCTGGCATGTTCGCAATAAATACCTTTAAAAAGACTCGAATATGTCTTAAAAGAATTGCAAACGCTATTATTTTTCATCAAATAACCTTAACGATGACTGACAAAAATTAAGGTACAGTAATCCTTCATTATCTGCGGTAAAATATGTATTAATACTGTAACGTTTTATCGTTATTATTATTCGAACACTGTAGATAATTTGTATTTTAGACAACTGTACATAATACAACTATGTAAGTACTTTTGTACTTATTATGGATAAATCCCACACGTAAGGTACTTACAGAGTTTTTCCATTCTTCCTAATTCATATAACATAGGTATGTACAGTATGTTTATAAACAATTAATAAAAATTGGATTAATTAAAAAATGGTAAAAATATGTATATTAATCTCATTATATTGTGATTTTTAAAATTAAGAAAATAAAACCTAACCTTGTTTACATTAATTTATGGTTTCATTATCCTCGCAACTTTTCTGGAACGTAACCCCCGTGGATAACGAGGGATTATTGCTGTACTTCCAAGTTATAGTACCTGGTCAGTGGTTACGTTTAAAAAAAAGTAAAGGTGTTTGAATTGGTAAACAAGTGTACTTTGCATCGGCCGGAACATATTTTTATATATTGTATATCTTTTAATATATAGTGTGATCTCGATATTAGGTACCTCTGAATATCTCAGTTAGGTGACCTTGTATTGAAATGGGGTTTTCGGGAGGTGATAGGGAGACCTTAAATACATATTTTCAGATAAATTTCAAATTTTTAACACTATTAGTGAGCGCATACACAATACAGCGTACATTTTTTTAAACGGAAACACTTTTTCTATATATTCGGAAACATTATTTTTTTTAAACCTTTTTTTGTATCAAAAGTTTTTTTCTATTTACAATACTGACCAAGTTAGAGTAAGTTAAAATTTGGATTTATGCATAATACGTGTTTAATGCAATTTTCATGTATAACCACTGGAAATAATAAAATAAGTACCAAATAAATGTTTAATTTACTTTATCTGTTTACAAATAATGATTTTAACATTCTCTTGGTCACTACAATGAATATCTCGAGTACCTATGTGATCATTTTTGTTTACTACACTGTTATAATATGATTACAATTTTAACTATTTTTTTAGTGGAAATTTTGTTTTATTTTAAAATAGCTCTAATAAGTTATAACGATAAGATCTTCAGATAATTTAGTTTAATGGAAAACATTATTTTACTTTTATTCTGCGACTAGACCCATACCAAAGTGTGTGCATTATCCGAGTATGTCCGGTTATTATAAGTGCTTCAATAAATTATAATTTTTAAATATGAATAACGCCGAAAAAGTTTAATTGGTTTTAATTCACGGCGAATGTCGCCGTAATAAACGCTTGGCTATTTTGACGTATGCCGAACGATATCCAGAGAGATATCATCCTCCTTCTAATTATGTTTTACGACTTTTACAAGGATTAGCTCAGGAAGGAATATCTCCTGGTAGACGAATAAACCAACAAAGGCGTAGAGAAAATAATGTTAGATGACGATACAGAATTACAGGTACTAGCATACATAGGGGCTTGTCCCAGTGCCGCAAAAACCGGGTGTGCAGAGTGTGCGGCGCACACGGGCCCCAAGGTATGATTTGCCCCCCCCCCGGCCCAACCTGGAGCTTACGACAAAATTGCCTTAAAATTCAAAATTTAATTATTCACAATAAATTATTTCTTTTAAGTTGAAACATAGTGTAGTTGTAGGTATACTAATATTGGATTAAGGTGGCGGTAAAATTCTTTTGTCTTGCAGGCGGTGCCGCCGCGGTGGCGGTAAATTGTGTCCGGACTCATTTTACCGCTATCGCCACCGCCACTGCTACAGTGTGTGGGGACCTTTAAGTAGTAAGTATGTTATAAATATGATGGTAGGTTTTAGTAGGTATATCATGAAATCAATGGTACTAGATAGAATCACGTATGTACTATGTTAGAAAAAGATGGGTATCAAGTATGCAAGTATCAACGGTTCTAACTTTTTAAGTACTATCAATTTTTCGGTAAGATCTATTTTTATCACGTCTATGGGTCGTTGTTTGTCAAATATTGTCGGAACAACAGGCTGGTAGCGGAAAACGACGACGGTTGACGAGTGACGACGTGCCATAAAAATAATATTAATTTATAAACTATTAAAATGTCGTGTTATTGTTATACCAAGAATAATATCGAAGCATCACTGATACGACGACCACGACTGTGTTTACAACTCTCTGAATTGCTGGTATTGGTATAAATATAAAATACATTTTGTAATTTCAATGATGATACCTATTACTAAGGTTCGGATTTTAAAGCATAACAAATAACAAAAAAGCAACAAAAAAAGCATGACTAAAAATTAACATGAATTATAGTTATAATTTTACAAAACTGAATAAAAAAAATTTTAAAAAGAATTTACTGCCATGTATTTGGCAAGATTTTCAGAAGTGAAACTGACTCACACAACTGTTGTGTGTGTTGTGTCTGACTCTGATAGTTCGTATTCTGGTCAACGTCATTATTATTATTATTATTATTATTATTATAATAAATTAGGTAGTCAATTTTGTTTTCTATTTTTTTTAATAAGGCTTTAATAAACATAAGATAAATGGAACCGAATTAAAATCACAAATGTTGGTTAGATAATAAATTATTAACCATTTAATTGTATTATCATTTAACAATCATAAGAGGAATTTAAAGTGCCACAAAAATTGTTCAAAAATCTATTTTTCCAAATTTATATAAAATGCTATATTTATCGTTTTCTATTCCAACTAGTTCCACATCTAGTGAAAGAACATTTTCAGAAATGTGTCGAATAAATACTTGTATAAGGTTAATTTGTATACCATCTAATTCTCTGAGTTGTCTATTGAAAGAGTTTTATCAAATGTTCTAAATAAAGAAGACATTTAAATAAAAAATGCCAATAATCAGCGGAGGCTTAAACTGTAGGTATGCTATGACTAGTATATTATTTTGCTACCCAAATTAAAACTTCTAAACTTCTTACTTTCTTCCGTATTATAAGAAAATTAAAAACATGAATATTTTAGAACTAATCTAATATATTTTAACAATTTAATGTTTCTTTCATAACTCATTCCATTTTTTGCCCCATTTTATAAAAATTCCAGGGCTGAAGCCCCCTAACTTTAAGGTCCACTTACGCCAATGGTAATATGTATGGTGAGGATGATTGATGGGGGTAGTAATGTAGTATACACTATACACATCACCCACTAGCCACCAATGATAATTTAAGACACGCTACACTAAGACGAGCAGTGACGGCACAAGCGACGAAATAATTGCCTATACCGAACCCCTTTAAAATTGTCCATATTTTGCAATGTTGTACCGTATTATCTACATCGTGGTTTGTGGTTATCAGCTTAATTTCTTATCACGGGGCCGAACTGACCCCAACAACTTAAAAAAAAAAATTATTGATAATATATAACATTATCTGTGTGAAAAATCTACATTTACCACAGCAGTTTCCGATAACGAATGAGTACCATCACATTGATCCCGACCGACGTCGTTGCAAGTTGCAAGTTGTTGTCTGGACCGTTTACGTGGGCACAGTCATCAGTGGCGTTGTGGATTTGTGCGGCGTCAAACCGAATGACAGTCTAGTCGTGGCCGGCGGCGTAGATAATATTTCGATAAACGATAATATTGTCGTCATCTACCACAACCACACAACGACGTAATAAATCGCCATCCGATCTACCAACGTTTTTTGGGATCGCACTCGTCGACATGGATGGATCGACAACCAGTGAGTGTCTCCTATCGATCGTGATCGATAAAATAATAATTGATAGTGCGACCATGTATCGTTACGTAACGATATTTAGGGCCGAGTGACGGTTCAAACGAATCTGAAAATCTGCAAATAGGTAGTCTGTAACGTTGTAATTGATTTTTTTTAATTGTTCGCTCGTGCCCCCAAAACTAGATTTTTATTTTTAAAAAAATATCCTTGTTTTTCTGTACTTATTTAACCTTTTTTAAACATTTTTTTTGTCCCTGCTGGTCCAACGAAAAAAATGTCGAAAGCCGATCAGCTCCTGTCGAAGCTACCACCACCGACGATGTTGCCCAGTTTTGTCACAGACGCTCTGAATGGTAATGATACATGATATATTAATTCAAATTTTCTTTCTCTTTGTCGCAGTTATTTCGGTTGATTTTAATTGTAATTGTTTTCCTGTTTTCAGTAGAGCCCAGACCTGTGCCAATCAACCCTGTGTTGAACGCAACAGACGTGACTAGTCAAAACTTTCACACTCCGATGTTTTCGTAAGTCGACCCGGATTTTCGTATTTTGGTAGTCTAAGTATTTTGCAGCTTACATTTATTTGTTTGTAGGCCTGTAATAACTAGTAAAAATGAAGAAAATGTTGAATTGCCCACGAGTCCTTCCAATGAAACAGTTGCTGATAAAGCAGTTAAAAGTGAACAGTCATCTAGCAAAGCGGATTTGTTTAACTGGATGAAGGGCAGTAGCTCTAGTATTTTTTCAATGGTTGCTGAAAAAGCAAAGAATTCTGTGGACGCAGTACTCACCACATTAGACCCGCAAATGAAAGATACATTAAATCGTAAATTAATAAACAGCCATTAATGTACATTTGCTTAGTTGAATGTTATTAGTTAACTATTATTACTTATGTTATAGCCAACACTTTTGATAATACTGATATTGTTGTTGCTTCCGAAAAAGAAATTGTTGTCAGTGCAGTAAGAGAGGCATTTCAAAAAGTTTTTGGAAAGGCAGTCGTCAGGTAGGCAACTCTTTTTCATATTTGTTGTATATTTTGTAAGACATAATATGTTGTTTATTTTAGAGGACTTGAAGCACCAGATCAACCTTTTGCTGCACAACTGGTTGGATTTTCTGCCGCATCCAAAGCCACAAAATATTGCATTGATTCCGTTAGATTACATGTAGTGAAAGGTCCTGTCGTCTCCTTTGAAAGATTTATTGTAGAACCGATAGAATCCAAGTAAGTTAAATTTCTTTCATAAATTAATATGCAGGAAATGTTTTAATTCTAAATCCAATAAATTATGGACATTTTATTTTATCGCGTGTTTAGTAAAAAGTATGTTCAAATCAATATCAAAACTTTTTCTCCAAAGGTCCAAATGTTATAATTCAATTCCAATCAAATCAAATTATCAAGTTATTTTTTTCCAAATAGATGGTATGAATTTGGTCTTTTGAAACTCAATGACATGGAACGAAATATAGATTTAGAAGTGTACACCCAAAGCGTTCCTGTACCTGCAGCAATTGTTGGATTGATTAGTGACGATACCCCCAAAGATTATGAACACATCTCAACTGGATTCAGTATACCTGTCGCACATTTCATGGCCAGCAATTTAAAAGTAAAACTATCCAAACCAGATAAAGACTACTGTGAATTACTGTGTATTTATATTATGCGTTTACTTTTTAGGTACATCCATCTGAGTGGCAAGAAGTAATGACTGGTGTGAGCCAACGATCGTCTTTATTAGCTGCTTCAGTGTCTTTGGCCATGTCGTACAAAATTGCTCTGGAATAATGACATTTTTTAGTTTAGCTTGAAAACATTTATCAATTAATATTTTAATAAGATTATCAATTATTTACTGTAATAAACTTTGTTATAAACTTGTATTTTTTTCCTCCCCCAATGGATTGTGATTTTTAATTATTTTTTATTGTGCGCACGCTGTTATTTTTAGATATATATTTGTACAATATGTCTATACTTATTACTTAATTAAAGTATCTAATTGCTATTTGGTTATCATTATACTTTTTTCATCATAGATCATATTATTAAAAATAATAATCTGTCCAAGGAATTAAATACTCTGTTTGCACATTAATTACAGATAAAATCCAGTGGTGCACAAATACATTACATTAATTATACATCCAATGTGTTTATTGATTGACATAAATTAAAATAAGGCAAGAGTATAGTAAGTAATTGCACGAGAGGTCTTCCACAACCGATTATAGTAAAAGGTTAACAGTGTTATTTGGGATCTGCGGTGATTTGAAAATGACAATAATAAACAATATTTAATTAGTCAAATGTGTTACATAATTTATTAGTCATTTAAATCCGTAACCATGGGCACTATTACATATTTACATGTTTCAGTTTTATTACTTATTACCTTATTATTTGCATATAGAAGTGCAGTAAAATGTTTATTGACTGAATAATGCATAGCATTTTATGATTTTAGGTTTTTCAATTGCATCAGTGAGCTCGGTCAGTTAAGATTGCGATCATATAATTCATTCTAACATTATATTGATTCATGCGTAGATCGTGGGAAACAATAACTAAATGATTGAACTTAATAAGTAGGTACACCCTAGGGCCAGCTTAAGACACTTGCAAGCGGTGGGCAACTTTATTTTGAGTGGGTATTTATTAGGGATGGCATTTTAACCTTGGATATTATCCATAATTTTTAAATCGCACATGTGGCAAAATACCTAAGTCTGAACCTAGATGTACCTAATGACTTTTCTATCTGATATTAACGTTAATGTCAAATTGTTTTAATTAATCACTCTGGTAATTGGCAGGCTTGGCTCGTGGGGCAGGCGACATAAGGTGGCACTTTTGTAGGGGTGCGGTATTTTCAAAATGATAATATTATTATTAGTTTAGGGATGGAAAAATTTGATTTTGTCTAGTGCACTATTTTTGATAGTAACAATAAAAGAGTATAAAGTGCCTCCTCGTTTGGTTAAATTTTTAGAGGGGATAAAATAATCCAATGTAAAGTTGACTCATTTGGAATTATAAAAACAAATAGAATCTGTAGAATAGGTGCCTAACCAGAACAATAATATGAGTTTATCATATTAACTCAAAGCCTAAAGGTACACAATTACGGATTAAATAATAATAATAATAATAATAATTGATTTATGGAGCTAATATTCCAATTACATTTTGTATGTATGTTTTATAATTCGAAATAATCATAAGTACCTAAGTAAATACAATGATTTACAACAATTCAAGAAATAAAAGCGGGTAAGTGTATGTCGTTCTGCTGTACATTAGGTGACTAAGAGATAGCTGTAATGGATGGTATTAAATTTGAATCCAATGATATTAAATCATTGTTTACGAAAAACGATTCTGAGCGGATACGGTATGTCAGTTACCTAACCTGACCTAGGATATTTTATATTGTTATTACTTTTAGGTATTATTAATATGGTAGCCGGTAAGATGAATTGAAATTATTCTTAAATTATCAGTGATGCTGGAAAAATATTTAATATACGTATGTGAAATTGGGCTGTTTTGGAACCGAATTACAGCAAAATGATAAACGTTATTCTTTGTGTTAATAATACTTAATATGCAATTTTGTCCAAATTTGAACTTAAAATGTCTGTAAAATTAACTGTATTCATATATTTTTTGCATTTTTTAGTTACGGAAAGAACTGCTCGAGTGGAACCTTGTTATAAATTGTCTATCCTTCTTTTTCTTCTTCTTCTTAGGCTTATAGCGATCCATTCAGGACCATCGACGCTTCTTAAATGCCTTTCCACCTCTCTCTATCCAATGCCGATCCCATATCTAGCAATAGGTTAATTTTCTTTAGGTGTTTTACTGTTTTTCTATTCTATCACACCATCTCTGCCGAGGTCTACCTCTTGTTATTTTCCCAGTTATTTTGCTTTCCGTGACTTTCTTGATAAGCTTGTCTTCGGCTCGCCAGACATGACCTGCCCATTCCAACCTCTCTTTTTGAATTTGATAATTGACAATTTTATACATTTTTAACTGCAAAACCATTTTCAATTTTCCGTTAAAAAAAAAATAGAATAACTATTAATCGCCTCATGCGTCTAAATATAAATACATTCCAACTATTAATTATTTATCATTATTATTATTATTTTTTTATTACTATTATTACCTATATACACAATCTGTACCTCATGGGTACAATAAGAGTATTAGCTGAGATAATATAATACATGAAAAGGCTTGATAAAAGCAGACATCCAGTGATGATACTTAAATATTGAGGTTACACATTAATTTATAAATATATATATGAATTTATTTATTTATCTGTTTTTATACTATAATATTAAGTTAGCATATCTCCACACCAGTTGCGTTTTAAACGCCTTGGAGGATTATCCGGAATAACATTTGCTGAAAGAGCTTTAATTAAAGGATTGGGATGAGATGCAAGCCAATTATGGAATCTTTTATAATAAGTGACTGCTTCTTCTTTAACAGTTTTGATTTTCAGGTCCGTGTGAAGGGTATGATTAGAAACGTAAGAGGGGGAGTTCGTTAATTTTCTCAGTGCAATATTTTGAAAATCCTGCATACGATTTGTATTTGATTTTTTTGCATTTCCCCAGAGTTGGAGACCGTAGGTCCAAATGGGTTTGATGATGGATTTATACATTAGTAGTTTTATATTAAGGTTGGTGTGTTTGTTATTGACTAGCAAAGATTTAAGCATACGAAGTCGGAGATTTAGTTGGAGTCTTTTAAGACGTGTATGTTGGGCCCATGTTAGTCTACGGTCAAGGGCTAAGCTTAGATATTTTACTGTTGGAGTAGACAGAATTTGAGTGCCATAGAAAGTGACTGGCGGACAGTGTCCTAGCTTAAGGGTAAAAGTTATGTGATTAGATTTGGTTTGGTTTACCTTAAACCTCCAATTTTTATACCATGTTTCCATAAGAGATAGATGATGTTGTTATTTATCATTGTGACAATAATTTCTAAGTAAGTACATAAAATATTATTTAAAAAAAGCCATGTTTTGTACTGATAAAAATGAATAAAACGCTGGCACTGCACAACACTGGCTCATCGAGCTGCTTTAAAAATCAAACAGCAACTGAACATATGCCCGCCATGCCAACCCTCCCCCAAATGAAGCCACTGGTCTGCCCACTAGGCATAACTTATGTTAGTCTAGAAAAAAAGAACTCATATGGCATAATGGTATATTTGTGTGTTAAGGGTTTGAAAAACATTATTCCAATTCAATGTGGTATTACCCTGCGCAACCAACCTAATGCAGAAAACGCCAAACAAATGTTTTTCCAGCCATAAATCACAATAACTATTCTAAATAATAGAACATATGTCATGTTTGCTGTTAGTGAATTAATAGTGATGGGAGATTAGAAGATCTTTTGAAATTCTTGACTTATCAGCACAATAATCACTCTGTGCCTGATGCCAACGGTTAGCATGCAAATACAAAATGATCGATCTGAATTTGTGCTGGGCTTATTAGATAATTGTACATATTATATGTTAAAAGTTATACACTTATAAAGTTATAAACCTACCAATATATTACTCAACTCATGTTATTTCAACATGCTTTAATATTAAATTCTAGGTTGGTGGAGTTTCTGCTGATCACGTGTAAGTCTTTTTGATAGCGCAGAGGTTTTGACGTAGGTAACCAAAAATGGCGGCTAGTGTCTGGAATGACCTTTAGGTTATAATGGCACGATTTTTGTTTAAAAGCATTATCGGAATTCACACTTGGACAAGATTCATCAAAATCCGTTAATTATTTTTTAGTTTATGGTTTATAAAATGTTGAATTTATGTAGCCAAGGAATAAGGATTTACAATTTAACACAAGGTACAGTACAGTGTAGGTACATAACTGAATGTAGACACCGTGCCACATTTTTATAAAAATATATTATTTTGTATAATACACAAATACATAATGAAATTTTTTCAGTAAAAATGAATTCAACTTACTGTATTTAGAAATACAGTGACGGATTGGGCTGCTGGGAAGGTAACCTACCTAACCTTCCCCATTGACCGTTCGACTTGTTCGTATTTGACTATTCGAGTATATACCATACTGTGCTGTAGACCAGCGTTTTCCAACTTCTTTTACTCGCGGAACCGCTGTAGAAGTTTGAACGTTTTGTAAAACCCCTATATTTTTTCTATTATAGTAATGCATTATGCATACATATGTTTCATACACTTAAATAAGTGGGTTGACGTATACTTCCGACACAAGTGTTTCTCTCGGAACATCAGTTGGAAAACACTGCTATAGACAGACAAAAAATATACATCTCCAGACTATAGTTTGTCATTTTTGAATTACAGCAAAATAAGAAATCATTTGATGAGAAATTATTAGTAAATTTACGGGATGAATCCAATATCCAAATTTTGTAAAACACTCATAAAAAACTAAAAAGTTACTTCGACTTTCCGGGATTTTTTTTTAAATTGAAAAACGTGCAAGGAGTTTTGTGTTAAATTTTCAAATTTTAGATACAAGAAAACAACATTTTTAATGAATTTCCAACTCAAAATAATTTACGATTTTTCGTGATTTTACTGAATTTTATCAGACCCGCATAACAATTTTTTGTGAGTTTACATACAATTTTTTTTTAACATTTAACTTTTAACAACTTATAAAACTTTGTATTACATTATTTACATTTTCAAGTTTATTGACCAAGCAAAAATGTTTTATCGAGAATTATTAAGATTAATAAAAATTGAAAATGTCTTATGCTTGTAAATAGTTTAAGTTAAAATACTTTAAAACTTGTGGTGTATAGAAAATCTGAAAATTGTAATATTAACATTCGTCATTCAGTGAATAAAATATGAATCTAATAATTTTTTTTTAAGTTAGACCAACTTTGATTTTAAAGTTCAAATAATTGTCTGTTGTGGCTCTAAGGTTTCTGTAAACAGAAAACGATCTCGCAACTTCTGCTAACATATTG